GTATAGGGAAAGACATTTTGTTTCCTTTTTTTTTTTTTTTTCCAGTGGCAGAAACATGCTGGTGTTACAATTTTTAGCTTTTATTTAATAGTTTATAATGATTATAGAGTCTTAATATGTTCTGAGCTTGTGTGGAATACAAATGTTTATTTCAGTTTTGTTGGTGCCTTATTTCTTGCATTATACTTTTTCAGGAATAAATGATAGACTAAATGATTTTACTAAAATGTTGAAATAATAATATTACCTAAAATATCTTCATTTAAATATTTCAGAATAAAGAAAATCTCAAATTTGGAGAATTTAAAGAACCTTGATGTTTTGGATCTTCACGGAAATCAGGTAATGGATAGTAAATGCAATTTGTATTTTAAGTCACTTGCAAATAAAATTGATTGAGATGCATCTATTTTCCTCTATTGCTGGCTTTTGGGAAGGGGATTTAGAAGGTGTTTCACAACTGCTCTTTTGTTAAGTTTGCAGACCTAAAAATAAATCAAAAGGGGAATAATGCTAAGTTCAATCTTGTTTTTTCTGTTTTCTTACACTGTCAGAAGCTTATTTAAAAGTTGAAATGACTAAATATTTGGATAACAGCACCAAATCATGTAAAACAGCAAGCTTGTTTAGCATATTTTTAATTGTATTGTCAGAAGATTAAAAATGTTACAATATATAATAAATGTTGAATTGCCTTTATTGTATTAAGGAATCTATTTGTAAGCACTGGTACAAATAGATTCCTTAAATATGTACAATAATTCTAGATGTGTGTACAGAGAAGAAAGCATATAAGGAGGTAATGATGTTGTTATGTGTGCTTTTTGTTCCTAGCTTTCTAATAATGTAGACCTTTCCATAGATGAGTAATTTATTCTGTTTGTTTGCCCATTTGGGCAAATAATAATGATTATTGTTAATGGATCTAGAACTTCTGAGGCACCATTTAAGTGCAAAGTTTTAATTGTAATATCTATGTTAGACAAAAGGGGCCAAAGGGGGTTGTCATATTCCTGATGCACTTTGCATGCAGTGCAGAAGAGGCTAAAGAGAGATCAGATAAAGTATTTAGTTGTAAAATAAATGGAAAACATGTATAAAATAGCTGAAGTGCTTAAATCAATTTACGGTCAGGGATGTATGATCTTCCTGAACATAAAAGGCAGTGTGTAAATGACCTGGACTCCAGATCTGCTTAGGCTATGCACTGATTTTTGCTGCTTATGTTACTGCTTGATTCAGAAGATTGGGCAGAGTAATATGCATGTTACTATCCCAGGAGGGGTAGGGGGGGTGTGTGTCCCCCAGATTGGTGTGTGAGGTGGGTGTGGCTCAGCAGACAGGACCCAGTGCAGCAGGGCAGACTAGGGCCAGGCAGAGAAGCTCGGTGTCATTGCCCTGAGGTCCGCATTGCCATGGTGAGGCGCCCCCTGCCCTCCTAACAATGGGGGTGGTGGTGCAGAGTTGTGTCTGTCGTTCCTGCCGGTTGGGCAGGCGGTGCATTGCCATGGTGGTGCAGAGCTCCTAGCAGCAGCACCAAGCTTCCCCGCCTGGCCCAGCTCTGCCCTGCTGCACCAGGTCTTGCTCACTAGGCCACAGAAGCCTTGGGGGAGGGCAGCAGGGTGGGGAGCCTCAAGCCTGCTGCAGGAAGACTGCATCTGCCCCATCACCACAGGCTCTGCTCTGGCTGTGTCACCCATGGGGAGGGGGAGCTGGGCTCCATGCTCTGCTTTGCCGCAGCAGTCACTGCCTCCCGTGGGTGGCAGCCAGTGCTTGGGCACTGCTGCGGGGGGGGCAGGGGACTGCTCACTTGAGTCCCTAGCCCCGTAGCCCTGGCGGCTGGTGGGGATGGGGAGTGAGGGGCACCAGCAGGGATGTGGGGTGATGGCATTGGCAGGGCACCGGCTTATCAGGGCTGCTCAGCTCCAGACAGCAATGGTGGGGGCATAGCCATGGCTGAACCTGTGTCCTGGTGAGCAAATGGGGCTGGGGGAGTTCTGATTTTCCATGAT